TTCCAATTTACTACATTTGTCACTTCTCTGACACTTTGCTTTCTTTATGAGTATCAGAATTTTTATATATATATAATTGTGTTTCCTGAAAAACTTCTCATTTTTAATATTTATTTATGCATACAAGAACTGGGGTACAGGCTAGAGGTGTGGGGGGGGGTGAGAGGATTCACAGTAACAGACTGGGGAGCAAAACAGGCAGATGTACGGAAATACACTGCTGAGGGAGCAGCAGTCAGGTCAGAAGAGGTCTGCCATGCCATATGGGTCACCTCCTTGGCCAGGAATCGAACTCATGCTACAGTGGTTTAGGACAGCTTCAAGTGCTGTGATTTAACCCATTGTACCACCAGCAAGGGTCCCCGAAAAACTTACTTTAACAGTTCTTGCAGAAAAAAAATCTGCTGCCGAGAATTTTCAGTACTTGTTTTATTCTTCTTCATTTCTGAGAGATAATTTCCATGTAGACAGAATTCTAGTTTAGTGTCTTGGTTGTTGTTTTTTCAAGATTTTAAATATTAAATATTTAAATATTTAACTTCAAGTATTTCTCTTTCAGTTTGCATGATTTCTGATTTGCAATCCACTGTATCTCTTTTTTTCTTTTCATTATTAATCTATTTTAAACATTTTTATTTTCTTACACAGTTGTTCATTTTTGTATAATATTTGATTTCTCCCCTCAGGTGCAGTGCCATAAATTTCCTACCACCCCATCACCTGTGAACCATCACGATAGGCCCTTGTGTTCTTTTCTCCTCTTGTTGTGACCCATCTTTTTCTCCCCTGCTGTATGCCTCAGATCCATAGTTTGCCTGCCAGTTATGTCTTTTTTTCTGACCCTTTGTTTGGCTTCCCTATTTTCCCCCTATAAGTGAAATCATCTGATATTTCTTTTTCCTTCTGACTTATTTCAGAGCATAATCCCTTCCAGCTCATTCATATTGCTACAAATGGCATAAGTTAATCCTTTTTTGATCACCAAGTAGTCCCATTGTGTACATATATACACCACATCTTCTTGATCCAACCATCTGTTGGGCCATTTAAGTTGTTTCCATAGTTTTTCATAAGTAAAGCTGCAACAAACATAGGAGTGCAATTTCCTTTTCAAATCAATATTTTTGTGTCCTTTGTGTAGATTCTTAGGAGTGGAATTGCTAGGTCATATAGTAGGTCCCTTTGTAGCAATTGGAGTGTCCCCCACATCGCTTTCCATAGTGGTTGGACAAGTTCGCATTTCTTAATATGTATCTTCTGTAGCAAGATTTTAATTTTATTTGGCTGACTTTCAGTATTTTCTTTTTGTATTTTCCCCTTTTGTTTTTACTACAGCTTCATATGATGTGCTGTGATATAGATATTTTGGTATTTATCCTGAGTGTTGTTTTAGTGTTCTTTGAGTTCCCAATATCTGTGTTTTGGTGTCTGTCAATAATTTCATTAAATTCTGGGTCACTCTTGTTTCAAACATTGTTTCTACTGCATTTTCTCTTCTCTTTTTTGATATTTATATTGTGCATACTTTATACCTTTAAACATGTACCCCATCTGATTATCATCTTCGATCTTTTCCCTGTTTTGGCTTTTATGCTACTGTTTATTTAGTTATTAACTTTGAGTTTCATTTCAGGGGGTTTCTACTGACTTAAAATCAAGATTATTGATTCTTTGCTTATTTGTTTCCAGTTTCACAGTAAGCCTATCAAGTGCAATCATCATTTCTGTCTGTCTTTATATTCTAGTATTTACTTTAAAATATTTCTCAGACTTTCCATCTTTCTACTTAACAGTAACCATCAGTCCTTGATTGCTATCTACTGTTTATTTAGGATCTCTGTTGGTGTGGTGTAAATGTGATATTTCTAAAACCTTATAATTCTATAACCTTATTGCACTCTTTTAGTGAACCTAAATTCCTGAGCTCTGACCTTCACCAGTGCTTCTTCATACTTTTTTCCTTCCTTGTTTGAGAGAAAGGCTGGAACCAGGTGATTGGCATGGGAAATCTCTCTGAGACTCTGGTAAAGTCTCCTCTTCCCATGATAAAGATATAGGATGATATTTTTGACCTTTGATTAAGAGGCTTTCTCGCACTTCCTGAAGATAAAATACATTAATTTGTGGGAAACTTCTCTAGCTCCCAGATGACTTGTACTCTTACTCTAGATCATACACAGTTTCCAATAATTTATTCAAATGATTATGTAAGTATTTCTACCAATTTATGGAGCCAGCTATTTTGTTACAGATTTGAGGATCCTGGCTATGATTCTCTGCATTCCCATGTCACTCCAGCTGTCAGTATGATAGTTTGCCTGGCAACCTCAAGTGTCTGATGGATATAAGAATGATCATTGAGTTTCAGATTTCTTACTGCAACGAGAGAAATGAAAAATTTTCCAACATTTTATTTGTCAGAACTAAAAACCGGAAGCTGTCTCTAAGTTCATTTTGAACCATTATATATGGTATATTAGTTTGAAGGATTAGCATCTTTTCATTGTTCCTACATGCTTCAACCAACTCTGTATAGGATTCCCAGCAATTTAAACTGAAGCTCAAGATATATGCAGTCACTGAGATGGAAAATGATTCTCACGAAGACTGATAGAAGTATAAAGATCCAGAACAATAAATTTGGGAAACAAATTAATTGACCAAAATAGTGCAATTGAAAGCAATGTTATGACAATAATTGGAATAATTGAAAGACAAAATTTAGAAACTAGTATCTATTATGTATGCCATAAATAGCAAAAGTAAAAGGGTGATTTTATTCAAGATTTTTTTTTTCCCCAAGATTTTAGCTCTCAGTATCAAATGCTTCATTCAAGGCAGAACTCTGAACTAATGGTCCAAAATTTACATTCAAATTTATTAATCTAATGAGTGGGTTGTTGACATTCAGTGATGTGGTAACTTCGTTAGGTATCTGCGTGTCCCAAAACACTTGGACCTTGACCCAGAGAGCCCACTGCAGGGTCTGAACAGAGGCTTGCCTTTTCTATTTGCACACATTCCCCAGAACATCTCACGTGCTTTTGGCATCCTACTTCTAGCATCTGAGTCTGATTTCCAAACCAATTTCTTAGACTTTGGGGAAGAAGAGATGCCCTAATTGGATTGAAGTTGTTAACATTTCAGGAACATGTCCATTCAGTTAGATCTTCCATGAATAGTTTGTAATCAACAACTTCACGTAATCAATAAAGACATACTTGTGAAAGTATTATTTCCATCATATTTTGGATCTTTGTCATTTTGGGTTGCTGAAAACAGCCCCCTTTTCAAGATTATGTCCATGTATACTTTTATTTACTCTGTCAACAATCTATTTTACAAGAAGCCTGACCATCTTCTATAAATCCATTTTGTATATTTCAGACTCTGAGTCAAGTCATTACTGCCACTATGTGGTTTATTTGGGAAGTATTTAAAATGAAGACATGTAACTTGTTATTTTGAACTTAAGGTTACAAAGCTTTGACATTTTCCCTAATCAGCATATCCCTTGCCTACTGATACACATTTTCCCTAAAGATAACAACAAATTAATCATTAATAGTTTACTTCTATTCAATCCACATCCTGTGTGATTACATAACACATACACACACATTTGCATGTATGTGTACACATATTGTGTGTAGATGTGTATACACACAACGGTAAAATGTATGTATATGCAAAAACACAATGATATGCAGTATATGTCTACCTGCTCAATGTACTACCCTTATTTAAACAAGTGGATTCACATGATGTATACATGCTTTTTATTCCTTTCATTAGCTGTGTAGCATTCATTTCTGTTGTGGCTCATTGTTTCCATTTTATGTTGATTTCTGTTTTGTTTTTAACATTTGAACTGCTGACATACTTTTGTCTTAAATTGTTTTAGAACTTTGCAATCATAGTAATGATGAGAATTCCTGGAAGTAATATCCTGCATCAAAGAGCTTATACATTTTTTTTCTTTTGGACTGTATGTTCCATTTGTCTCCCAACAAGTCAGCACCAATGCTACTTTCCTCAGATCTTTGCCTTTAGTGTATATTCTTGATATTTAATTTTTCCCTTTTGATTTTTTTTCATTTTGAAATGAGTGCTGTTTTACACCTCATATTTATATTGCATATCTGTCTGTGTTTTCTGTGAAATTATTGTCATAAATTGGATGTGAATATCCTTGTTTCAAATCCTGTAGGCTGGTTAGCATTCTAGAAATATCAATTCCCATGTTAATTTTCATTTGTATTTCTAAACAAGAAACCTGCTACCCCTTTTTACCTATTCAGGTGTCAAGTATCCAGAGAGTGTTAACTTAATAACTTGCTGACTGGTTAAGATGCCCTGTTATTTCCCTTGGGACAAAGTGTTTCTTAATGTGTCATCTCTATAGATTTTCTTCTGGCTTCTGTGCCTTATGAGATATCAGTCAGAGGTGAAGCCAAGGGCTAATAACTATAAAGAGTAAAATGCTTACAAATTGCTCTTTTTAGATGTGGTAATGGTCTGATAACCGACTAAAAGGAAAAGCAGTGGAGATGTTGGGCAGAAGTCTGAGTCCATATGCTCCATAATTGCGAGAGTGTTGTGAGGTTCATCTATGCAATATCTGTTGAACCCCTCTTATTAGTAACCCAAATTCTAATACAATCTATTCAATATACATTAAGTAAGTACTTGTAAGTGGTTTTTTGGCTCTCAGGCTTAGTGTGCCAGGAATATAGGTTGAAAGGAGAACACAGACTCAGGATTCTAAAGAAAACTCTCTTGAATGAACATTATCTAATCACAGAGAATGTTGGCAGGGAGTGATCTCGGTATGTGAGAAATAGGATGCAAATGATATCTCTATCATTCTTCTGATCAGATGCCTAATTGAAAAGTTACTGTCAAATTCCAGTAACTTTTTGATACTTAGCTGGACTGTTAAAGTCCCTACTCACATTATTTACTCTCAGCTCAACTCTGTGCATGTTGATTTCTCACAGTATTCAAGGGCGGAAAGGCATCCTGTGACTGCATTGGAGAAAATGATGGAGTCAAGTTTTGCTGGCCCCCAGTCATTCCCAGAGGTCCCTTCTCCTGACAGAGGAAGCCAGTCTGTCAAACACCACAGGTACAGGTAGCTGATCATGGTGGGAATGGGTGTGCTCATTATATGTACAAGACTGGAAAACACGTGTCAGGAACGGCAACATTACTTGCTCTTTCTATAGTTCTCGGGAGTAAATGCTGAAGCAACTCACAGCAGGTCAGTCAGTGTCAGCAGACAGCAGTGCCCCTATGAAAAGCCTCAAGCAACTATTAATGACACCCATCAAAACTGCAGACACAGACCAGTGAATGAAACAATTGCATTCTGAAAACTATTAAAAACATGAGTTTTCCTAGCCTGCCTTATCACTGTCTGCTAAGTTAATGACTAATCCTTCCCTAGGCAGCAAAAGTGACACGCTCCAGGTATTCCAACATGGCTCTCACACAAATAAAACTTTCTAGGGGAAAATGTCTGGCAGATCTTCTGTTGTCAATGGGGTTCATTTTTACAAGTTGACCATAGAAACAGGCTTTCAGGGATGACGCCAAAAATAAACACATCATGGTACCCAAAAAAATTGGACAGTTTCTTCTAGTGCACTCATTATGTTTTATATGTAAAGAATCTGGTCCTCTAAAAATTAAAGGTATTTGTTCTGAGCCAAGAGCAAAGTTTGGAACTAATGCTAGAACAGACAACATGTTTATATGTAGCTGAATGCAAATTCTGTATCTGTATGGAAATTATCCAAAGATTTAAGCACCTTTTAAAATTTATAGGATAGTATTTTAAAAAAAAAAGTCATCATATAAGATTTCTGTTTTTAAAAAAAAAGTAAAAATAAGTGCCCCAGCATGATAAATATGACCTTTAGTCATATTTAAGCAACACTTTGCAAACCACTGTGACAGAAACATGAATTGTACAAAGAAACTATCCTGTTCTCTTCTTCTCAGAGAGTCCTCAAAAAAGGTTTTAATTGATGCTGGTCACATGCACTGTGCAATTTTCTATCATGTTTGATACTGATCTTCAGTGCTTCTGATAATTTTTATCCTCACTCTGAGTAGTGATTGAAATACTAAGGATTTGCTAAAAAAATTTTTTTAATGATTAAAATGTCTTAAACTCAGGATTAAAACATTCTTGGCTATTATATGAAGGTTTAAATTATTAAATATCAGTTTTGGTTTATGTCAATTGAGGCACTTATAGATATTTCCCTATGAAAAGATCATTTCATTTCACTAGACCTAATGGGAGTTCTTTGATTAGAGAATAAAGTCCAAATTACCAGCCTTTTAGAAGATGGATATTTTCTCTTAAATGGTATTTTTCCCTGCTGATTTTAACACAAATGTGTTAAAAGTGGCATTCCATCCTGTCAAGTAAAATAATTCAGAATAATGTTACTTTAGTACTACATTACATTATAGATCTTTTAAAGTCGAGCTGAAAAAATAACAACCTTTAATATACTTAAGATGCAAACTCCCTACCACTGCTCCTTATCTGTTGATACACCCCCCTCCTAAATGTCACTGCTTTGGTTTCTATGAATCACTCTAGATTAAATAAGGATATCTTTAAGAGACCCTCCTTTTTGTTCAGTTCAATGATATTGCATTTTTTGTTGACATACATTGAGTCCTGATAGGTAGGCAAGGGCTGATTTATAATACTTTTAGAACTTGTAAATTATAGTTTAATATATCATGGTTTTATTTTGTAAAACATGCAGTAGACTTAAATGTTTTCATGATTAATAACTTGGTCACTGATGTATGTGTCCTGCAAACTGTTCCATAGCTTCCTGAATGCTGCTGGGTCAGAAAACTTAAATACTTGATTGATCCATAGGTATACAGATGTTTTTTAAAGATGGGTCACTAGTTCTCACTAGTATACTTTGTTGTGACAGTTTGGTAGCTATGAATAATTAATGTTTTGTGCAATGCAAATATGGCTCATTTAAATAATTACTGAAACAGTTATTAATTGAAGTCATTATTTTTCATGTTTAGTCCAAAATATAAAAAGTTCTTCCTTTTTAAAGAAGGCATCTATATTATGTCTTGTCACACATTTTCCAAACTATCATCTGACAATATAACTATTATTGATAGCATATGTAAATTTTGAAGAAGTATTGCATTATAACATTATATAAGTTGTAGGTATGCATTATTGAAAATCAATGTGTATATACTACAGTATTTTACCACTTAAATCCAGCTTTCAATGATTGGTAAGATCCTTTGAGCTATCAGTTGTAGAAGTGGAACAGGGAGCAATAATTTATTTGCATACTTACTATGTGCCAGGCTGCATGCTGAACACTTTCCATGTTTTATCTCTTTTAACTCTCATAGCAACTCTGAAACTATATCAGCATGATGCTAATACTTGTCTTCTGCACCTCCCTGACCCAAGTCAGGGAGTTAATCTTAACCTTTCTCTGTCTTGTCCTGTGGACAAGTAGCCAGCAAGCTGCCCTTCTTCTGGCCTCTGTTAATTGAATATGAGGCTCCAACAAGAGGTGGAAAGTTGGAAGGAGAGTGAGGTGTGGCTACTTCTACCCCCTCTCTTCCTGTTTGGTTGCTTCGACCATGTCCCTCTTCCTGCATCACAGTGCCTGCCAGGTGGTCATCTCCTTCTAACTCCCTTTCTCTCTGTTCTGGTAATTGTTTCCTCCCTTGTTCACTCAGCTATAGAGAGAGTAGTACTGTCCCATTGTTACTGTGTTAGAGTGATATCTGTGGAGCTCTTTTTGTTTCTTCAAACACTGAACACACTTTATAAAAAGTAAAAGCACCTTCTGGGACTCTGGGACAAGTATCTCACTCAGTATCATGTCGGTAGCAACCCATAGGCATGAGTGCACACCTAGAGGCAGCTAGTGCTAACACCTGCACTCCGGTACAATGTGGACCCCAGAAACATCACAGACATGATAGAAGCTGAGGAGGATGGAAGCTAGAAGCCATTGTGGATCTCCTTAGCATTTTGGCTAAGTGACCCAAAGTGGTTGTGCATTGGGGAACTCAACACACAAGAGCTATCACAGTGAAGAATGAAGGTTTTGTAATGTTTCTTAATATGATCTGGTGTTTGCACAACTCTGTAACTTAATGTAGGCTTGATAAATATGGAGTTGAGTTAGTCACCTTGCCAAACCAGGAGTTTGAGGTTCTTAAAGTCTGAGGTTAAATAATACTTGAGATTTGTTTTGCTTTTATTAAGTTAGAATAATGGTAACATTGATAGGGGAAAATTTGCAGAACTTTAAATAATAAAGTGATATAGGTAAAATTCCCTTGAGATACTGGTCCTATTAGTACTTATAGGTTGATTGAAATTCAAAAAAAGTGTTTTTATCTTTCTATATTAGTTTTACTGATATTTTCAGACTCAAATTAGAATGAAACACAAAATTCTAAGTTCACTTCTTTATTACATGAACACTGCAGAATCAGTTTAACCATATAAATCAGCATTTCATGAAATTCTCTAGTGGTACAAATTTCTACTCACCTGTGCATATGGAAGTAGTATAAGGAGTGAATACAGGTAAAATGAGAAAAATTACCAATTGATTTTCATTGAATTAGTCCTCTTCCTGCAGTACTCCATTTATGCCTTTTGACTTTTAACAGCATCTGAAAACATATGGCTATTTGGGTATTGGGGTGTATGAGTCAAAATGAAATATATAATCAGTTGTTTATTAAAAGCAAATCCAAAAGAAAATATTTTAGCTTCCCAATATTTATGAATATTTAATGTGATAAAACTAGTAATTTAACATATTTGTTAAGGACATGAACACATGAAAATGTGTTCACTCTACCAGTTACACAATGAAATTTCCTCTATATATCCTTTCAGGCCTTCAGTGCTTAGTTCAGTGTGTCAGTGTCTAATAGCAAGACCATTTTTATTTTTTTAGAGAGACAGCTGTTACAGCCTGGATAATAAGGGTGGAAAGGAATTAGAAGTTTGAGAATTCTTTAAACCTACCTCATCTTTGGTGGGAAAGAAGGAACTATTTCAGCCCTTTAGTTCCAAACTGGAAAATCACAGACATAGAAACTTTTCTTCACTTAGCATCTGCAAAGATAAAATGAGTCAGGCAACTTCTGATGCTCTTCTAACAGTTACATTGCATTCCTGGATGGAATCTGGCTTTGAACTATGAGGCCCTGGGTGCAAATTTAGTGTTTGAGAAGTCTGAGCCACCTCCTCTGAGGTTACTGCTATGATCAATCTGTTGGTTTTCTTTTACTCTAGCAGGAGTCTCTCCTCTTGCTGCAGCCCAGGGCAGAGGAGTGGTATGCTCCACAGAAATGCCTTCAGAAGGACACCCCCCTCACCTCGAAGTAGGCTGGGTGGAATTGTGGGACCAGCATATCAGCAACTTGAAGAATCAAGGATCCCAGACCAGGATACATTACCTTGCCAAGGGTAGGTCTTAAAAGCAATGGTATTTTGGAGGACTGTCCTTAATGCTAAGGCTTTAAATTATTATGTTCTTGGGGTTTTCTTTATTGATTTAATCAGTAATCAGTTAATGTGCTTACTTACATTTTCATTACACAAGGTGAAGGTAAACTAACTTTAAAGAATAGGTACAATGAAAATAGGTAGTAGGGAAATGCTAAATAGAGTAGAACTGTAACAATAGGAAGGAACTAAGAGTAGAGATATGTAGGCAGTATACTATCACACAGTTTCGAAAACAACTTGGAATTTGTCTTTGATTTAAAAAAAAAAAATGGAGACTACTGTAGAGTACTAAAGTGTTCCTTCATCTTTAGGTTAAAAAAAAAAGTTAATGATCTTCTAATCCATATTATGGATAATACCCTAAATAGTAAATTATAACCTATGTACATGTATACACATGCACATGCATGTGTGTGTGTGTGTGTGTGTGTAATCTGTTTCCATATAGCATTCAAAATCATGTCTCAGTTCAGTGTTGGCAGCATTTTGTCAAATTACAGCTTCCTGAATTCAGATCTCTAGATTCATTCAGGGTGGAAAGAGGGGCTTTGGAGGTCATGGCATCATTTGTTCTTTCAGTGTAGAAGGTGTCCCTTCCTCTGAGTGGACACAGATCTTCTCAGGGTTCATGGCGTGGTGAATGGAGTGCAGCATGAATTTTAGCTGCCATTCCTTTATCTGCCGTAAACTATTCAAGCATATATGGTAGCCTTTATTTAAATAGACTAGAGTTCAGATTTCATCTTTGCCCCTTATTAATTGTGTGCATTTTGAGAATGGTTTACCATCTGAGCTTCTGTCTTCCCATTTGTAACTCAAGCAAAATAATGCCAGCTTTCCTGAGGCTTATTGGGCAGATTTTAAAAAGTTCATGTGTAAAGAGATTGTACCTGACTTAAAGTAAGCAGAGAAATCATACTGGTATGTATTGTCACATCAACTGTTACAGCATTTTTTTCTAATTTCAAAAATATGCACTTATTATTTTAGGGTTTACTGCAGAAATTTTGGGAATTATTTCTCTCACTCAAACTAGGTTACTGTGGCATCTATTTTTATCTGTCTAGTTGAGCCAGTCCCTGTATCTGTGCTGCTTTGGCCTGGATTATTTTGTTTCAGATTATATCAAGCTGAAGGCCAAAGCAAGTATCTCTGGTGATGGCCTGGCTGACAAAGTTCAGCAATACATTTCTGTAGGAGGACTAGAAAATACAAAATAAATAACCTATTGGTGAGTCTCATAATTTTGAAGCAATCCCAAATGGGCTGTAAAATATATTTGGTACAGCTCTGGGGTGACATTATCCTTATATACACATATGTATTCTTTCCTGGGGTGAATGTGAGAATGAGAATAATTGTCGTGAAAGTAAATTCAGAGATTTTTTTAAGAGAAAGGGAACACAGTGTTTGCTTTTCTGTGAGATAGTGTTATTGCTATCCCTCCATATATCTCAGTAGTAAGGAGTTCTGAACCTGTGCTAGGACAAGCTTTATTGAGCCATATATACACAGATCTTCCCATTGCATGTTCAGGCACTACCTTGTCTGTTACCTCCTGAAAGACACATTTATTGTCTGCGTGGTAGTGGTTTTGTTTGGGTTCAGTCATCACTGGACTTGGAATATTCTCTCCAGTTGGCTGACCAATATATATTTTGCAGTGTGTGATATGTACCCAATGTTGATAAATGGTGACTGTAAGTATAAGTTACTGTGTGCTCAGCACAATGAATCTTAGGGAGCAGTCTCATTCTCAGTTCTTGAAAACAGCTATTTTCTACTCCTGGGGGACTGACTATCTCTCTGGATTGGAAATGGGTTTGATAATAGAATTTCATTGCTAAAGGTCCTCTTCAAATCTAGCCCTTGCCTGGAGGAAGATTGAATGAATTTGCAAGAGCCATCAGCCATCTGCTGCTTGTTTATCAAGCTTGTGGGCACTGTCTGCTCGTTAGGTTCTCAGTGTATGTAACCTATCTGCTTTGCACAAACTTCACCCAGATTGAACCCACCACCTGTTAGTGAAGTTGAAAGGAGAGAGGTACACCGGAGATTCTTTTGGAGGCCTCCCCTGACTGATGGGTGACAGTGACTATGGCAGTGGCTCACAGAGCTTTGAACAGGGTTGTGTCAGGCAAATCAAGCTAACATGTTCACATGCTAGAGGGATATGAAATCATGGAAACTCTACTGATACCTTCAAAGTAGAAGGAATCCAGACTAATAATGAGTACCTTCCTGACTTAGCAAGAAATTTTACATACTTCACTTCAGCTATTCTTCAGGGATTTTATAGCTGAATACACTAAGGATCACCCAAGTTGGCATAATCCATTTAAAAGAGCTAGAATTGAATATTGACCTTTCTGACTAAATAAGCCACCAACACTAGAAAAATATCAAGTCACTCACATTCATGGAGGATGATGTGTCAATGAAATCTCTATTTGTATGACCCCACAGGGGAAAATGGACTCCTTCAATGTAGTCAGTTCATTCAAATGCCATGTCTAGCAAGGACTGGGTTTTGGCATCCCCTGGAATAACATGACTTCGTTGGCCTGATTCCTGTAGTACAGGGAAAAAGAACAAGCGATTAATTACTAGAGTCTTTATCTTTAAAAGATGCGTTAGCACACTTAGTTATTACAGAGGAAATATGCCTGTGCTTTCTTTGTTTAGCAACCAGAGCAGAACAGTCCAAACTGCCACCGACTCTGTGAATAATAAACTGAGTCAAACCTGTGAAGAATTGTTAATCTCATGGGATACTGAACTCTCTCTGAGTGTCTTCTAGTCCAGAAGTACCTCTAGAAATTTGTTCTCACTTAAACTTCTGGAGAGTAGTATCAGCTTCTATTCAAATGCAAATGTTAGAAAGCTCACAGCTATTTTACAAGTAGCCTGAGGGCTACCTATGTGCTCTGTCCACACAGTGCAGAGACAACTGTTTAGTCCTGAGAGTAGTCAGTCTCCTGTACTGGTATTATTTACCACCTGATAATTTCAAATGATGAAATGATTAAAAAGTGGCTGTCATTTGTGGGAAGATTCCAGCACACTCAATGGCACTGGTACTTAAAATCATGTCTGACCAAAAACAGAAACACATCAGAGCTTTAGTTGTTTAAAAAACAATTTCATGTTATGGTAACATTTCAGATATCAATCCCTGCCAGCCAGGTTTCCCATATGTGATTTATGAGATGATGTTTAAGTCAACTGCAATCTAAGTCCTAAATGCAGCTCTGAGGCTAAATATTAGAAGAATGCTCCAAGTTTGGCTTGAATTGCCTGACTACCTTTTATATGTGCCACATTGTTGACTAGTTGAATCCACAACTGACTAAATTTCTTTATACAGCAGTTTTGCAAATAATGTCTAGATCCAGTTTTAAGAATTTGCAGCTTTAACCATCATATGTCAGCCTATCAGATACTATCTATTAGTATACCCTGATATATTATACCTATGTGGAATATAATTTTATTAAGATCACTATTTACTAACTGTAAAATTAATGAGTCTGATAGCAAACATCATGTCTCCTTGTATATATTAATGGCACTAACAGGATGGTGCTGAAAACACAGAGACTTGAAAGGTATCCCCCTTCCTCTTGTTGAAACTGATTTGCACATCATAACTTTAGTTGTTCTTCAGTCATATAACACTCAAGAGAAAGGAATAAGAACTTCCCCCTCTATGGGAATTTCCTTTTACTTTTCTGTACACCTTGCATAAGTAAAAACTGTACACCCCAAAAAAAGGATTTCTAGTGCACACTGTCATGCTCACACATTTCTAACTCTTTGGATATAAAGGGAAAAGTGAAGTTCTTCAATTTAGTCAGTTCACTGTAATGCACTAAGGACATGGTCTTAGAGTCCTCTGGGGAAACACAAATTTGATAGTAATGATTAAGATAAGATAAATTAGGTTTAACTTTTTTCTTTATCACTATTAAAATTATAATTTTCATCAAGGCATTTGAGTGCCTCTAAGATCAATTTATTCACCCATTAAATGAAAATAATAATGAATGAAACATTTTTAATTCAGTGAGGTTTTTAGAGGTGACAGTGCTTTTTAAAAGTAGTGTGAAAAATCTTGGTTGTTGTTATGTTTGAAATAGATAATAGCTAGGATATCAAAGGAATGCTTACCTTGCAGATTTGTTCATATATTCAAGTACCCTTTGAATCAAAATTTATTGACTTAACTTTTTTCTGGATGTATGATGAAAATTCACCTAAATCTGTTCCCCATCTTTTTTCACTGTCCGGTGAAGAGAACTGTCTCTAAATTGCTCTGATCATGTCCTAACAATAAAGACTTCTATTCTGTATACAACACATTCCATTCAAGTTATTCTTTACATGTATAAACATAGTGTTGTTTACATTGTAATGTAAGACAAGGAGAATAACATTTATTATATGGAGGGACATGTTTATATTCTATTTAAATTTTAACATTTAAATTGAATTTTTAAAAAAATTACCATTCAAGTCTGAAACCACAATTCTATGAATCTGTATTATATTCTCTGATACTGGAAAGTTGAAAGATACTGGAAAATTAATTTAGCTCTCAATAGGCAAGAAAGAGCTAACCCAATTCTAGTATGTTGGCATACTTGGCAAACCATTGGCATGCACCAGTGAGCTACCTACTCAGCTCCAGAAGCCAAGTGCTGAAAGTTTCTAGATTGATAGAGTCCCATTTCAAGTTTAGAAAATGCTGTTCCCATCCTCAGACTCAGCAAAACCTAAGGCGGTCTCTACAGAGTGGAATGACAGTGAACATTGGATTTGGTTCCCCCACAGTCGGTGTGAAGCAGAAAAATACTGGGCTTCTGATTGCCTCCAACTAGACTGACCACAAGAAGTCTACTAAACAAAACCCGGGCTGAGAGGGTGGTCCAGTTGATGGAGTGGAGTAATGCCATTATGGGTTTCCTGTTTGTCACTATGGAAAGGCCACACTTACCTGCTCAATCCCCATTTACTTTGTATTCTAGGATAGAGGTCAGGAAGACTATATCCCACCTGCCTATACAGCTGTGGTGTGTTGAAAGATCCCTGGACTTAAAGTAAGAAGATCTGGGTTTGAGTCTCAGTCTGTCACTTATTTTCTGTGTGACCTTGGGCAAGTCACTTCACCTATCTGAGCTTCAGTTTCCTTCTCTGTTTAATTGGGAACATACTATCCGTCTCATGGGGTTGCTGTGAGAATTCAGTGAGATGGTGCATGTGAAAAGTGCTTTGTGGACTGAATTTTGCTGGAGAGGAACCCAGCAGAGGAACCAGGTAACACTTTGTTTCTTTTTCAGGTATGCATCCAATGGTTTAAAAACCCAACAAAATGCATCAATAAATATGCAACTGCCTTCAAGAGAGACAAACTCCTATTTTAATAGCTTGGATCAAAAGGACCTAGTGGGATATTCATCCACAAGGGCCAGTTCCGTGCCCATCATCCCTTCAGTGGGTCTAGAGGAAACCTGCATGCAAATGCCAGGGATTTCTGAAGTCAAAAGCATCAAATGGTGCAAAAACTCCTACTCTGCTGATATTGTCAATGTGAGTATTCCAGTCAGCGATTGTCTTATAGCAGAACAACAAGAAGTGAAAATATTGCTAGAAACTGTCCAGGAACAGATCCGAATTCTGACTGATGCCAGGCGGTCGGAAGACTATGAACTGGCCAGCGTAGAAACTGAGGACAGTGCAAGTGAAAACACGGCCTTTCTCCCCCTGAGTCCCACGGCCAAATCAGAACGAGAGGCACAATTTGTCTTAAGAAATGAAATACAAAGAGACTCTGCATTGACCAAGTGACTTGAGATGGAGGAATCTGTGCGTTCTATGCTTTGCTCAACAGGAAAGAGAGGAAATTAAATACAAATTATTTATATGCATTAATTTAAGAGCATCTACTTAGAAGAAACCAAATAGTCTATCGCCCTCATATCATAGTGTTTTTTAACAAAATATTTTTTTAAAGGGAAAGAAACGTTTCAGGAGGGATAAAGCTTACAACTAAAGCTTTTCGGTAGAATTCTGAATACAATTTCAGTTAGTCCCAACATCAGCCTCTTTGGCTCTTAGAAAATGTGGGCGATTCAGATCCTCAGCCCCACGGTACCAGTGTCCTCATTAAAAAAAAGCACTGGTGGTTCCCCAGTTTCCAAGAGACGAGCTGTACCTTAAGGGTTATGTCAGTGAAGAGATGACCCTTGCCATTTGGCTTGCCAGTCCCAACCCCAAATTTCTATTCACCTGACAGCCTCATCACAGGTTGTGTCATGTCAACAAATGTAGTGTTTTCTATTTAATTTTTGAAGAATGGCACAAAGATGCTGGAAGGAGGAAGATTATAGGAGGTAGAGGAGGTGTGGGAGGCAACCTTAGCTACTCTCATGTGCCATCTTCCTCTGAAATTTGAAGGCACAGAATCTCAGAGGGAGGAATGGAATTCTTACAGAAAAAAAAAGACAAAAAAAAAAAATCACCATGTGTGTCACTAGAATCATACTAATAGAAATGTTTTCCTTTGAGGTTGTTTAGGGCTCTGACAGAGCACTTCTCAGTGGGTGCGTGCCTGTGTGCATATGTGTGTGCAAGGGTGAGTGTATGGGCTTGCTTGCCGAGCATTGGTAAACTGTATGCACATGTGTTCATCGTGCGCGTGTGTGTGCATGTGTGTGTGTATAAAGCTTGCTAAAATTTGTTCTGAAACATCAGGGAATCTAATATTCAGAAAAAAAAAAATTTCCCTCTTAGACCTGTTCACTTTAAAGTTTTCCATTAAGTATAAAGTTCAGTTAATAAGATCTAAACTCAAGGTCACTTGCATGGTGGGGTTCTATAATTCTTGACAATGTCTAGATCACTTTCAGATGTGAATACTTTTGAGAGGAACAACTATTGGCTCATTAATAATGTCAGTATCACAAGGCAAGTTGAGGTTGTGTGTTTATTTTGAATCATGCAAACTTAAATTACTTAGACAAGCCAATTAACAAATCGACAACTACCTTTTGTTTTCCCATCATCCCATTATTATTTATTTTATAGCAAGTCTACTATGTGTGGACCAAGATATTGGCTTCTGTGGTTGATATGGAAAGAATAAATTGTTGAAATCATACAGTCCAGATATTCAGTTCACAAGAAGCCCCCAAGAGAACAGTAATTGTGTTGTATGTTCATTTGGAATAAAGCAATATTTTTACCACTGCTAAGGTGAACTGAAACTACTCCTGAAGATTTGTCTGTTTTATTTACTTTCATGGGGCATTCAAGGAAATTAGTGTTCACATAATCAGTCTTTTTCCAATTATTGGTGGTGTTGAGTTGTTATGTTTACACTGTTTTAAATAAAAAGGCACAGTATTTGAAAGCATATAAAAGATTTCTTTTACTACAATTTGGGAAAGGCTTGGTTAAAATTTCATGTGAAGATGCACTTTTTAATGAAATGGAATGTTAACTATTTCTAAATCAAACATTGAGTATACACAATTCTTATTTGAGATTAAGTTGTTTCTATTGAAAATACATTGCAGATTGCTTCTTAATTATGTTTTTTAATAGTAGACACAATGTCATTCAGAGGAGCATTCTTGTCTGTGATGTTTAGTGGAAATTCAAAATTTTAAATGTTGAAAACAATTTGGTAGAAATGCATTTTATATTTAACTAAATGTTTGTGGTATTATTTCATTGTCCCATTACAGTTTTGTTGTTTTGAATTTAGAGGCAATATTGTTAGACTCTTTAAAGATGAGTTTAAGTTTTTTAATGTCTAATTCATCTAAGTTCTCATTTTAAATTATTATATATTTGGGGAAATTTTAGAAAGTGATCTTAATTAACATATGAAGGGGGTTATAAATACTCCACAAATTATGTATTCAGTATGTTATTGTGTGGAAATTTATCACAAATACCAAACCTTAGCTGGAAGCCTCAAAATTCTGCTAAAATCAATTTTGTGTCTCACTGAACTTTGTTTTACACTAAACTGTTGCTATCACTTCTCTAACAAATTCATTTAGAACTTACCAAATTAGGTGGTTGTATATATGCTGTGCTTTACTACAGTTTTCCTATATTTTTTGTGACAAGATGGAGGCTTGTCAGATTTAAGTCCTGACACAACCCCTTACCTTTTAAAAGTAGATCAAAAACACTTCCAGGTTTGCTGAAGTCTAAACATCAAATATACCCACTGGCTGTCTAATGTGAAGTTAAGAGAAATATTTATTTCCTAGTTAGTAAGCAAGACAGACTCCTCAAAACACACACACACACACACACACACACACACACACACACACATATATAAATGGTTAATTTCAGAGGACATTTGTCTCCTTTTAGAATATGAAGCTTTCCTGGGAAAAGGGGCCAAGCTCAAAATGCACACCTTTGGGCAGCAGCTTGCAAGTGCTGATAGCAACAAGACTTTCAAAGTTGATCTCACATAGCAAACACCTGGAGCCATCGGTACCTTGCCCTTCAAGCTGATGTGCCTACAGAAAAATGCTTATTTCTACAAGATACCTTTGATTTGCTTAACTTTTTCTTGTCTTTATTATACAAAAAGATATTTGGAGATTTGTAATTAAATAAGTTGCATAGTCATTGTTTATTAGAGTATGAATGTCACCCACTAATTTTTACACTGAATCATTTTCTGGTATCTCTTTTTTTTTAATGAAGCATATATTATTCTAATTTAGCAGTAACTGCTCTAGAACACTGTTGCTCAATATATATGACCAATTTTACCCTAATGAGAAATAGTAGAAATAATGTGGGAGAATTGGCATCCAAGTTTTCTTCCAGATTGTTATGCACATAAAGTGTTCTCTGCTTTGCACTAGTCTACTGCACACTCCCTTACTATAGGTTAAGGACTACATATTTGTAAATCTATCATATCTCCAATGACCTACATAATTTCTAAGTAGCAACAGCAGAGTCCTCTGGAAGAGGAACAGTACATTTTTTTAGGACTTCACATATTAATCTGTTTTGATCACAGTGACATATCAAACCTACCAAAAAGAGAACAAAAGGGCCACATAGAGTTCAAGAGAATGCACACTGGCTTCTACATTGAATGACAGATACAGTTTCAGTGGGGCCTCTGGTGACCAGAGGTAAGGTCTTCAAGAACCAGGTCAAGAACCCGGTCTCCACCATAATATGTTTAATGTGTGCAGCAGTCATTCATATCAGTCCTGCTTTATGGTGCTATAGGAAACCATGACTCCCTAAGTAAGGGGGTATGGTGGTCCCCTTGAATCCAGCCCCATAAACCAGAAAATGTTGCCCTGAGACAAGTGCTGTGAAAAATTTCGCAAATGAGTACATAGTATACCTAGGAATACACAGCAGGAGGGGTGGGATTTTTTATTTGCTCTTTTGGTATCCGGGAAACATTTTATATATAAAGAAAACATTTTTATTATTCAATTGTACAGATTCAGTACAGTGTATTCAAATGATAGCATGTCTATACTGTGTTTGTACTTTAGTCTTCAGAAATTCAATCTTCATCCAGGAAAGACCAGCACAATGTTTCTAGGCTGTTCTCATACTTAAATGCATCCCACTATGACATGGGAAATGAGGCCTTTGAATAAGCTTTATCTTTTCCTCCTTTTTCTTTCTGTCCCTTTTAAATCAGTTGTGAGGGTAAAGGCAGAAATCCATTTCTTAGATCTGCACTGTTACTATTCTTTCCTTCTGTGACTGCACACACACATTCATATATAAACATATATGTATATAATCAATGTGTACGTTAAATTTGGTTGTCTGATTATTTGGTTGTTTGATTATTTTGTTGGCTTTATTTTTTGCTTACTTTAACAAATATGAATGTTGTTGCCTCACGGGAAGCCAATTACATCAAATCAATTAGAGACCAGCCCACTTGGCAATGTTTCGATATTATAGGCATTTGTTGGTCCTTTCTCTTGTTTAGGTAAGCAGAAATATGCTTGGGTTGGAAAATTCACAAGACCTTGGAATTAAATTCTTTGCCAGATTATATCTTATAAATGAAGATTAAATGATGGGTATATATATAATTTCTGTCCCTAAAATATGATCATCTAAGCTCTCTTTTCTGCAATTTTCACTATTCATTTCTCCCAAAGGTGACTAAATAGGTGCCTTTGATATCCAGTGTCCATGAACTTTAGTGAGGAGTCAAGGTGAATGCAGAGTGATTTGGGGAAACTGTGTTAATGTTGACTATCCAGTGAAGATACAAAACTAATAGAAGAATGTCTCAAATTTAATCTCAATAAACTGGAAACAGGCTTCCAGTACTTTGATAACTTTTTATAGTAAATGCCTGCATTGACCACATGTGTATACATAGCTATAAAAGAATTATGTGTAATAGTCAACAATTTCCTATTGTTGAGGATGAATAAGAAAATTTCCATTTTGCTCTTGTCTTTATGAAAGTTTCATATCAGTAGCTCCAAAAAGCCCCACCTGCCAAATGAAGAGAATGTTCTGTTCATCTTGTTTTCTTCCTAAATTGAATACCTTGCAATCCTATTATTCTAACTCAAACTTTGCCTGGTTATTTGTCATCTAATTAATTCAACAGAATCCTTTGGAAAACAGATGATTAATATATTTTTATAAGATTCAAAACTTCTGGAACCTGTATATTCATCTACGAATATATTGTGCTGATTATGTTCCATTTAATTTCCATGAAGAAGTAGACAGATGACTTTTGTGGTTGTTTTTAGAGAAAATGTAGCTAGAACAGATAATAATGTAAATGGGGTGTTCAAAAAACACCTGCAGCAAAGATAGAGCTTGAGGTTCTCCAGAGAAATCATGAAATATTGATGGTTCCTCATAGAGGCAGTCAAAACCCTCATTGGATACATGAGAAATACAATGATATGCTCAATTATTTGTACCTCAAGTTCTTTAACATAAATTCTATAGTTAACAGTGAATATGTTGTCTAGAAACATTTTACTTCATATTTGGAAATAATCCTGACTTTGGTGGGCACAATAGGCAACAAACTTATTCAATTTTGATTGTAATTTTTTTTTTCACAAATCAATATCTATTTTCTCTTTTAGTGGCATTCTGACTAACACTAAACTTCCAAATATAATTTATCCTTATCAAGAGCCCAAACTGAACTCCTTATTCTTCAGTAAAGCAACGTAAAAATACTTGAACTTTTAATTTAAACTTTATTAAATCTATAGAACTTTAATCTATTAAAGTTGTATTGTTTTTTTTTTAAATTATAAGGATTCCATGTAGTTGTTCATCACATTTTAAAACTTGTTTTCAGTGTATGTAGAGTTTTGATGTACCACTCATACTGTAATTATTGTGACACTTTGCCTTCCCTGTCTTAATACTTTTTACCTATGAGCTTAAACAATTATACACACTCCATGTCAAAACTCAATGTCCTGTCTTTCCCTTAGTTTTTCTCTCTCCAGCTTAACCTGGTGTTTTGAATTTTCATGACAAAGAATGATGTGGATTCAGATTTGTTTGCTAAGAAATGCATAGGTTTATCTATACACCCACCTTTTTTTTTTTCAGTAAAAGTCTGGAGAATAGGTGCACTTGTTCAAATTTCAAAACATTAGAAAATAAAATTCATCTTAAAAATCACCACACATTTACCAGTGGCAAATGTGTATATTTTTAAAATAATTGAAAGGAAATGCCTGGGCTTTCTCTTATTTTTTTTTTCAAGAATTTAATTGTATACATATAAATGCTAAATAAAAAGTTTCCCTGTTTCTTAAAAATATAATTTATTCTCCCATTTGATAATATTTTAAATTAAAAAATGCAGATTGGTCAGTATGTTATTTTTAGTTAACACTGAAAAATATTCCAGAAACAAATGCTTGTGCCTATGATGATAATATTATTTCAGGAAGTCCATGTTTCTCCTTTCTTCCTTTATTTTGAAAACATTTCGAAAACATACCTCCTGTAGGATATAGAGGCTACAGGATATAATTCTAGATGCAGGTCCCTCAGCACCCCAGTGTAGCAGAGTTCCTTTATGTCTATACTTTGGGGGGCGAAGTGCTTAATAAAAATTAAGACAGTTTTAATAATTATGTAATACAGTCCTGACTTTGTCATGAAATTTCCCTGTGTGGATGGTATCCTTGGCTACCATTTTCCTGTTGTATCTTCTCAGTAGTCTCTGATGTAGCTGGGCCCTCAGATTCCCCTAGGTTGGGTTCTTATTGCTTGTTCCTTTTATCTCACTTCTCTTTTATCAATCTCTTTTATCTCTCACTTAAAATGAGAGACCAATATGATTTTGTAGGGAAAAAAAATAGCTTTTTCTTTTGAATTGTGTTAGTGAAATACAAGAATAAAGTAGGAACATTTCAAATGTATGTAGTAATAAGGTTCTTGACTTTAACCAATATCTTCTCGTACACAGACATACCCTAAGGCCTTTTAATTTTCCTAATATTGTTAAAAGACTTTTCAAACTTATTATTATTGTTTTCTCACAATAGCATTTTTCATTTTGTCAGAGAGAAAGATAAAAGTATCCATTTGTATAAAAGAACAGAACAATAAATAAAACAAAATAGTCATCCTTAAAACCATGAATATACAATAAGAAAATAACAATATTCTTAAAGGCCTCCAGTAAGAAAGATACTGACTTAAAATATAAGACTAAATTAATGTAAAGCAATATTAGGAAAATTTTTTACATAATAAGATGTTTATTTCTTAATTC